AGAGATGGTTCAGCAGTTAAGAACACTGGTTGTTCTTGCAGAAGACCCGGGTTCAAATCCCAACACCCACATGGCAGCTAACAACTGTCCATAACTCCAGTTCCAGGGGATCTGACAGCCTCTTCTGACCCCTGCGGGCATTGCACAACACAGGTGCACTTACCTTCACGCAGGCAATACACACACACACACACATAGAATAAAAATAATAAATAGAATATTTTAAAAAAATGAGACCCAACCATGAGTTGTGTCCAAGAAACAGACCAACTACGTGTTGTCTCCTAGTCAGCAAAGATATCAAAAAACTCAAAATGAAACATTGGGATACAAACTACCAAGCAAATGGAAATCATAAACAACATGTTGCTCTCTGTATATCAGATAAAGTAGACTTCAAACCAAAACTAATTAGAAGAGATTAAAAGGGACACAATTTGCCAAGATGTAACAGTTGCAGTAATCTATTCACTAAATACTGGAGCCCCTAATTGTAGAAAGCAAACACCGAGAGGTATAAAAGGCCATAAAGGACCTAACTCAATAAGCAGGAATGTCTGTACCCCTCGCTCATGTTTGGATAGATCTTTCAAACTAAGAACAAGTAAAGAAAACCTCAGACACTATGGATCAACTCGAACAAACAGATAGATACAGAACAGTTCACTTAACAGATGTGAAGTACCTGTTTAATCAGCAGCATATGAAACCCTTGACAATCTTGATCATATCAGGATGCAAAGCACCTCTTCACAAATCCAAAAACATTGAGATGACTCCCTGAATACTATCAGATCACAATAGAAAACAAGTAAAAATCGACAGCAATAGAAAAACTACAGAAACCACAAAAAATACTCAGAAACTAAACTATGCATTACTGAATAGACAATGGGTTGTTCAGGAAATTTGAGCAAAATTTAAAAGTTTATAGAAACAAATGATAATGAGACTTCAACCTGTCAGAGCCTCTGGGCCACAGCCAACACAGTCCTCACAGGAGTTTTTAATGACAAGTATCACATTAAAAAATCTGAGTGATCTTCTTTCAAGTCTTAACTTCAAGATGACCAAAAAGAAAAAAGAAACGGTCTCACCGAAAGGACTGCAGCCACATGCAGTCCATTCGCTGCATAAACTACATCCCTTGCATGCCTAAAGACAAAGCCATTAAGAAGTTCGTTATTGTGAACATAGTAGAGGCCACGCCCATCAGGGACATCTGTGAGACAGGTGTCTTCCATGAAGATGTGCTTTCCGAGCTGAGCTGCTATGTGTGCTGTGCCAGTCATTGCAAGGTGGTCAGGAATCAGTCTCCTAAATCCTGAGGAAACCAGACACCACCAGCACAATCTAGAATAGCTGATGCTACTACAGACCAACTTCTTTGATGAACGTACGTGTAAATTTTATCAACCACATACTTGCAAACAAAATTGAGGCCCACATTCAGGAGATCATACATTATGACTTTCTATGCTTCACCCCCCAAAAGCAAGGTTGGTTCAACACACACAAATTAATAAATGTGATACACCACATAAACACACTTAAGGACAGAAATCACTTAATTATGGTACTTGATGCTGAAACTGAATTAGACAAGGTCGAACATGCCTTCATGATAAAAGCCTGAAGCAGCTGGGAATAGATGGACTAGACTTGGAAAGAATGAAGGTGTACAGCAAACCTAGGGCCAACTTTATAGCCAACGGGGACAACTTGGGAACATTTCCTCTAAGACTCAGAACTGAGACAAGGGTGCCCACTCTGCCTCTGAGACAATACAGTGCTTCAAGTGTTGGTTATGACAATTATAAAGACAGGAAAGGCATCAAATTGTCCCCTACTTTGACATGACAAGGTTCTGTACTTATAAGGCCTATAGAAAGAATGTACTAGGAAATTCTGAGATCTAATAAAGATAGTAATGTTGTAGGATATAAATCAATATTTTTTAAAAAGAGCCTTTATATGTACTTGTTACAATGTATTCTCAGAGAAAGAAATTAGGAAAAATATCTGACTGAAAGTAATTCCTCCCAAAATTAGGTACGTAGGAATACACCTTACCTAAGAGAGAGACCTCTATGATGAAAACTTCAAGACACTGAAAAGATGGAAACATTACCCATGCTCCTGGATTAGCAGAACTAATATTGTGCCAAAGGCTACATGAGCAAAATTAATCTACAGATTTAATGCAATACCTATCAAAATTCAAATGTCATGTTTCACAGACCAAGAAAGAAAACAATCCATGAATTCGTGTGGGACCCCAAAAGACCCCAAATAACCAAACAACTTCTAAGGAGAAAGAATATGCTCGGCAGCATCACAGTACCCAGCCTAGACCAGGTCCTACAACACAGCCATAGGGCTAGAACTAACCTGGAACCGGAGTAAAGCACACAGGCAGACCAGTGGAGGACGGAAGAGGACCTGGGAATAAAACAGCGAAGTTACACGCACCTAATTCCTGACAAAACAGACGAAAACGTACTTTGGAAAAACGGAGCCTTTTCAACAAATGGTGCTGGCAAAACTGTTAATCCACATGTAAAAAAAATTAGATTAATTTCTTTGACCTTGCACAAAACGCAATTTAAAATGTGTCAAAGACCGTTTTTCAAAGCCTGAAACACTGAAAGTTCTCAATGAAAACATACAGGGAATACTCCTCAAGACTTTGGGGTCAGCAAGAAGTTTCTGAACAGAATATCAATAGCACAGGAACTAGCCTCAAATATCAACAGATGCAACAACAGCAGATCAAAACCTTTCTGCACAGCAAAGGAAATTGTCAGGAGAGGACACAGGCAGCTCACAGAAGGCCTGAAAATCGTTACCAGTTATGTTTCAGACAAGGGGTTAATATTCAGAATTTTAAAACTGTGGAAATTAAATATCAAGGGAATAAAACACCAAATCGGCAAATGGGCTAATGAACTGAACAGATGATATTTTAAAAAATCAGGGGGCTGGAGAGATGGCTCTGTGGTTAAGAATACTGGCTGTTCTTGCAGAAGACCCAGGTTCCAATGCCGTCACCCACATGGCAGCTAAGAACTGTCCATAACTCCAGTTCCAGGGGATCTTACTGTCTCTACTGTCCTCCACGGGCATTGCACAGCACAGGTGCACTTACCTACATGCAGACAATACATGCATACACATAAAATAAAAATAATAATTTTTTTTTGGTCTTTTTGAGACAGGGTCTCTCTGTAGCCCCAGCTGTCCTGGAACTCACTATGTAGACCAGGCTGGCCTTGAACTCACAGAGATCCTCCTGCCTCTGCCTCCCAAGTGCTGTGATTAAAGGCGTGCACCACCACACCCGGCTAATAAAATTTTTAAAAAATTCAAATACCCACAACTACTTTAAAAATTGTTCAATATTGCTAGGCATTTGGGACATGCAAATTAAAATTACTTTGAGATATCACCTAACCCCAGTCAGAATGGTTATGATCAAGAAATCTTAAATATTGGAGAGGATATGGAGAAAGAGGAACACTTACTCATTGCTGGTGGGAGTGTAAACTAATACAGCCGTTACGGAAGTCAGTCTGGACATTTCTCAAAAAATTAAAGTTGGGGCTAGAGATATGGCTCAGCGGCTAAGAGCACTGACTGCTCTTGCAGAGGACTCGGGTTCGGTTCCCAGCACCCACACGGCGACTGGCAACCATCTGTGACTCCAGTTCCAGGGGATCCCAATGCCCTCTGACCTCTGTGAGCATTGCACGACACAGGTGCACTTACACACATGCAGGCAATACACTCATGCACGTAAAATAAAAATGATAAGCAGAACATGAAAATCAAGCTATGATAGACTCAGCTACCTTACTTCCTGGGCATCTACCCAGAAAACTCCTTACACTGCTACAGAGATATTTGCATCCTTATGTTTATTTCTGCTCTCTCTAGTCACCACAGCAAGGAGACGAAACCAACCTAGTTCTTCATCAACAGTAAATCATAGAAATCTGGTGCGTACAATGAAATTCAGCTCTAAAGAAAAATGAGGTCACAAAATTTGCAGGAAAATGGATAGATCTAGAATATGTAATATTAAGTGAGCTCACCCAATCTCAGAAAGAAAAAAAAAACCTGTATACTCTCCATAATATAAGGATCTTAGACTATAATATATATGTGTATATACGTCAAAAACGAATATGTGGGTATACTGTGTCATTTGGAGAACAAGAAAGACTAATTTTTAAAAGGCACAGTAGTGAGTTCATATTACAGCGCACTTCATGTGAGTCCTTTGAATACTCTCTTAATATCTAACACTTTTTTTTCAGGCAAAATAAGTCCTTAAATAGGTAGTGTCCACAGGTGATTCCAGGAGTATTTGTTACCTTCCTGGGAAATCAGAATTTTAAGTTGTTTTATAATGTTTGAATATGTCTATATACTAGAGTTTTTAAAATACTAATAAACTTAAAAAAATAAATCAAATACGTATAATCTGTGTGTCAACCCACTCCCCAGCGAGGAGCTGTCGGAGATGTTCGCCAGTCTGTACGCTGTCTCTTCACTGCGTCAACCGCTGTCTTGCTTGACAGGAATGCTTTAATTTGACATGATCACAAGGCCCACGAGCAGAACTTGAAGTGCTTTTCGTTCATTTCTTCCAGCATTTTCACATTTTTCAGACCTTAAATTAGACATTTGCCACATCTTGAGTTGATTTTTGGATTACATGAGAGCTGGGAATGTCATTTCAGTCTTCTACATGTGGATGTCGAGTCTTTCCTACCCCGCTTCTTGAAGATGCTGTGCTTGTACCTGTGTGGAGCCTTTGTCAAGTGTCAGGTGGCCGTAGCCGCGTGGACTAGTTCTCTGTTCTCTCTTCCATTCCACCAGTCTCCGTACATATCTGTTTCTGAGACAGCATCAAGCTGTTTACACTGTAGCTCTGTGGTCTAGTGTGAGATGGAGTACTGAGATCTGGACAGCATTGCTCTTTGTGCTTGGGATGACTGTCTCTGTTCAGGTCTTCTGTAGTTCTGTAGGAATTTTAGAATTTTCTTCTAGTTCTACAAAGAATCTCATTGGGATTTTGATGGAAATTTCATGGAATGGAGCCATTTTTCACATTAATTGGGTTGATCTCCAGGAACAGGAAGGGAATTCTTTCCATTGACTGGTGTCTTTTCAAGTTCCACTTCCAGTGTTTTGTGGCTTCTACTGTCAAGGACTTTTCATCTTCTCTGTTAGGTTTGTCCCTAGATATCTTTTTATATTTTACTAGGAAATTTGAGTTTGTCATAAAATAAAAAGTAGCTACCAATAACAGCAATGGTATTATCTCATCTGACATATCCAGCAAATCAGTTTCCAGTCATGTCAAATCTTCACAGTTCTACAAATCTATGACACTGGAAAGGAAGCCCACCCCTTACAATCACTACCCCAAAGGGACAACACTTACTGGACTCTGATAGAAAATATATGACAGAATGCATGAAATCTGGTGGGGGGCTATGGGCTTGAGGATTAGAGGAGGGGTCTAAATATGATTAAAAGTTATTGTATGCAATGCACAAAAATTCAGTAAAAATACATTTAAAAAGAGAGTGCAAGTCGTTAATATAGTTAAATAGTCCTTGTTAGTAAAATATCTACAGCATTTTACAAATAAAACTAATGTTTATTTTTAACATGAAATCTCTACCAAACCAAATTTGTGATTCCTACAAAATAAAGATTTTGTCCCACGAATATTTGCATGTTGAAGCCTGTGATGGTTTCAATGACATGTCTCCCACAGGCTCCAAGCAACTGGACACTGTCCTGAGTTCATGCCTCTATTTGGGGAAAACCGTGGAACCTTCAGGAGGCACGGGCACGGTGGAGGATGCTCATCACTGGGTAGTGGGCAGCTTGAGAGCTCAAAGCCATGTTCCATGTCCATTTTGTATCTCTCTGCTTCCTGGGCCTGCTTGAAGATGTGAGCACTCAGCTTTCTGCTCCGGCCGCCTCCTGCCCCACCATCCCACCACGATGGGTTCTTATCCCTTTGGAACCAAAAGCCAAATAAACTCTTCCTTCTATAAGTTGCCTTGGTCATGGTGTTTTATCACAGCATCAGAAAAATAACTAATGTAAAACCCTGGCCCCCCCACCCATGGGAAGGTAATAAATGAAAAGGAGGCCACCCGCTATGAGCAAGGAAGCAGGTCCTCGCTAATATTCAAACAAACTCACACCCTGAATTCTCATGTCCATACTGCAGAACTGTAAGAAATAAACTGTTGTTGTTTATAAGCTTTAAAAAATGAAAGAAAAAGAAAAAGATTCTGTCCTTCTTTTCTTGGAAAATTACCTTTTTTGTTCTCAATTCTAAATATTATACTCACACGTTTGTTAAACAAACAAGACGTAAGTAAGTATGTATATGTGTGTATCATATACCAAATCCCCATATGAAGGAAAATGTATATCTTTACTTTCTGAAATTGGGCGACCTCACTAATATTACATATCCAGGTCCATTCATTTTGCTGTAGTTTTTTTTTTAGTTCATTATTCTTTATATCTGAATATTATTCCATTTTACAGACATACAGATTTTCATTATTCATTCTTCTGCTAATGGACATCTAGATCGGTTCCATTTCCTTGCTATAGTGAATAGGGCAGCAACAAATATGGGTGTGCAAATATCTCTGTAGGAAGATACGGATTTCTCTGGGTACATGCCCTGGAGTGAGAGAGTTGTGTCAAATGGTAGTTCTATGTTTAGTTTTTTGAGAACCGTCCAGACTGATTTTCCTGATGGCCCCCTCCAGAATGGAATAAGGGCGAACCTCTTCCTCCACAAAACTCTCCTCCATTCGTTGTTGGATTTCTTGATAAAAGCCAGTTTAATTGGATAAGGTGGTATCTCAAAGCAATATGAATTTGCATTTCCCCAATGGTTATGAATGTTGAACACATAAAAATAGCTTTTTGGACATTTTATTTCTTTTTCTGAAACTATTTTATTTATTGGACCATTTTCTGATTGATAACTTTCTTTCACTGGTATTTTTGCAGCTCTCAGTATATTTGGGACATTAGCCCCTTGTCAGAGGTGTAGCTGGTAAAGGTTTTCTGTCCATTCCCTGTGTCCTCTGCTGATAGTTACCTTTGCTGTACAGAAACTTACATTTCTCACTTGTTGACACTTGTCCTAATTCATGGGCTCTTGATTTTGTACTCATAAAGGTCTTCCCTTCCCCGATACCCTGAGGAATACGCCCCTCATGTTTGTCAAGAAGTTTCAGCATTCCCTGTTTTAAATTAAGGTCCTTGATCCATTTCTAATTGATTTCTATATAAGCTTCAAACTGTGACGCTAACTTCATTGTTCTGCAAGTGGAAAATCAGTTTTGCCAACACAAATGATTGAATAGACTTTTTCCCAAGGTATGTTTTTGCCTCGTTTAACAAGAATTAGATGTTTATAGTTTGTCA